GGCATACCATGCCTTTATCCTCTAGAAGCCAGTACCATCTCCCTCACACCCCCATTCATGACAGTAAAAAATTACTCCAAACACTGCTAAAAGCCTCTAAGGAGGCAAAATCAGCCAAAGGTAACAACCACTGCACTAAACTATGTTATTCATAAATGATGCATTCATTAGTAGACCTTTTCTATCAATAGAAGATTTAAGTCTAGAAAATATATGCTACTAAGTCAGGAAAGTGATTCAATACATTGGAAGAATTTTGCAGACCAAGGATTTAAGCATATAAAAACACCTTTGGATAACACTGACTAAGGTAGTTAAGTCAGCTAACTAGAAAGACACACTTACCTAGCCATTCTAAGTTATCTGTGATTCCACTAAACCTTCAAGCTTTTAATAAAACCTATGATAGTCCAATAACATTTCTATTCAAGTTTGGTGTCAAGAGCATGAAAGAAGAAGGTTCAGTTTGAGCTTAGGATAATCAAGCGATCACATTAAGGTGTTAACCAAAGTGTTAAGTTAAGGCTTCTATATTTTAACCATATTTTGCATGGTGAAAAGAGAGGATCTGTTACCACAACAAGATGGGTCAAATTATGGATATGAGCCTAATTGGACCCAAACCTAAGTACATTCTGCATATGAAAAACGTATGACTCTAAATAACAAAACTATCTTGAAATCTGACCAAAATTATTAGTACTTCGGCTTCTAGACAATTGTAGATATCTTAAAATACACTGCCACTTAGAATAGCAGTAATTCAGATTAACTAGTTTTAGACTCTAGAATTAACTGGTTTCTTATCTGAGGGGAAGAAAGAGGTGACATTTGAAACTCAAATAAAAAGGGAAGTTTATTGCACAAAGAGAAGTTTGATACCTCAGAACAGAAATCTATATACTGTCAGCAAGAGCTCTGTGATTTATAGCACATAGGAAAAGCCACTCATTAGCCTCCCTTTACTCCCAACAGAAGCTTTTAAGTGCTGCTGTAATTAGGACATGATGTGGGATAAGAATATTAGGGTATATTTCATTGGGGGGGGAATGTAAAAAGTTAAAAAGTTTAAAAAGAAAAACTGTCAAGATGCAAGTTAATTTCACCTACAAACCAATACACACTGAACTTTCTTAAATCAGTAACACTAATTCTTCTGTCAATAAATGGTTTGTATTTCTCAAGTATGAAAACATACTTGTTATAATGTAACTAACATCCATAATTCAACCTTTAAAATCATTATGGAAAAAGTATACTTCAAAAAAAAAACAAGTGTACTATGGACACTAACAAAATCATCTCTATTTTCAGTGGTAAAATAAAACAAACTGATACATGTTTCATATTCAGGCTCTATTATCATACATAATAAGACTGACAAAACCACTAACATAATAATAATAATAATATTAACAGTAGCAGGTAACATGTAAATTGCTACTATGTGCATGATGTTTTAAGTGCTTTTTCATCTTTACGACAACAATACTATGAGTTAACTGAGCCAGAGAACTGAAATCCAGTGTATCTCAACTACAGGGTCTAGGAGTAGACAACCAAAAACAAAGCAAGGCAATTTCAGCTAATTAATGTAACAATGACTATAAAACAGCAAAATGAAATAGAAACTGCTGGGTCCAAAAAGAAAAGGTATGTCAGTTGGACTACCTAAGGTTGCTTGGTAAGGAAAGGGTCTTTACTAAGAAGATATTTGAGCCAAGAGCTGAAAATCTGAGGGAAGAACTTTCTGTGCAGAGTTCAGCAACCACAAAGGAGGGAGGAGGGATAATGATATATAAAAACAGAAAGAAGACAGGTATAACTATAATTTACAAGGAAGTGAATATTCTTACGAGAGAAGGTTACAGAGCAGGCAGGGGCCAGATGATACGAAGCCTTCCAGGTCATAGTAAAAGTCTGGATTTTATTCTAAGCATAAGGAAATCACAGGGGAGTTTAAGGCAGTCAAGTGTCATTCATAATCAACCAATCTTACTTACCTAAATATGTAAGATAGAGAATGAAAATGCTCTGTGTGATGATTTGTTTTAGGCCTAGTAATTTGCTGTCCCTTTGCAGCAGGTAATAAATACACCCTGGAAGGAGAATTATTTCTAACTGAAAGATGACAATCTTTTGAAAGGTATCTCCTCCAAAAATATATAATGGAACTTGTAAAACAGATTTGACTCAGGCAAATTAATAAGAAGTTTTAGATAATGCAAGTAAATCTAAGTCAAATACTAATAATATTGGTTTGATTTCACTTTTGCATTTTTGTAGAAATGAAGTAATTAAAAAAATTTCAATTTAAGAATGGAGAATATTAATATAACCCTTAAATCAACACATTCTTCAGTGCTCTTCAAATCCAGGTTTATTTATCACTTAAATAATATAATTTTTCAGAATCTAGTTCAAGAGCCTTCCTTATACAGACTTCTTCAATCACTTGACTTAGCAATCTAAACATGGCACCTAGCTTGGTGATCAAGATTTAGAAGAGACAAATACCTGGTCTCCCTGGCACAAAAGATTGTTTCTAAGCTCTAGGGGTAAGATAGCCAGTATTCCAAATGAAATAAAACCAAGAAACAATACATGTTAGCAAAACACAAATTAAGACTACTGGCTCCTATCCTCTATGTGGCAGAATGAGTTAAATGTTGTTACTTTCTCCTGGGACGGGAGAAGGTGGTGAGAAAACGAAGGAGGACCAGACCATGCCAAGAAAGAGGAGGGTGAAGAATGTTCTCAAGTCCCCAGTGATTTCCCAAACACAACATCTCCTCAACTTAGGACAGCAAGAGTGTCAAATAAGGGAGATTCTTTAAACCTCTACCACTGTCCTGGAAGTCTTACACAGTCACAGTTCACTTAATGGTCAGCGAAAAAATTACCACTGATAGCACAAAACTACAGCCAGACTGGGATAAGTTTTTGATAGTGCAGCTGAGTGTCTTTCATTAATCTCACTACATAAAACACAGCGCCACATCTTTACTGGAGTGCATTTCTGGCCTCTACTTGACAAACTATGTATTTCTGATTGGACCAATTACTGGGATAGGATAAAACTTGCCAACTACCTCATGCTACTGAAAACCTCTCTGAAACTGCCTGAGAACAGCTTTCCTCTCAAGTCTCTTAATTTCATCAAGCATGCTGGACAAAAGGGGGAAAGTACAATTTTTAGGCATAGAAATACCATTCTACATTTTGACTGTAAAACAGCAGCTTCTCTGTTGAGCTTACCATATTTTCCCAGTATCACACTTACAAAAGAAGCCCAAGCCTTGATCAACTGCACTAAATGTGAATGGCTCATTTTTACCCCCAATGTGACTGAGTTGTTTTGATATTTATAAAACTCTTATAACACAAGCATCTCTAACTTTACTGTATTACATAACTATGTCGTTCTATCACACATCTTAAATGCCTTAATTTCATATCCCTTGCCAAAATTAGCATTCACATGAAAATACTTTTTAGATCTACAGTCAGGGACCAATTAAATGAAAAAAAAAGACAATGTGTTAGATGCAATTCCCAACCTCAACACAAAGGTTCCATTTTAATATTAAAAGATCTGATTATCCTTCATGATTATTTGTGTTAACATCCATAATTGGGAAAATGTTATAAATGATATTCAAATTCATCATTAAAAAATTATATTATTCTAATTACTTTGATAAATGTGTATAACCACAGAAAGGAAATAAGACTGAATTTGGTGGTAATTTGCTTATTCTATTAAGTTGGAGTCAAAGCCAACAAGTTTTGAATCACTACATCTGTCTTTCAAATCTGGATAAGACTCATGCAGACATCTGTACTCCTATCAAAAAGTAGTTAGATTTCCATATTCAGGTAATTATAATGAAATAATTTTTCAAAACTAGTTATGCTCTTAATACTATCCTCTCATTGAAACAGAATAGTCTGAAACCTAGCATTTTGATTACAACATCTTACTTGCCAGTAAAACCATATTTAAATACTTAACCAAATGTCCAACAGAATGATTTGTATGGAATTCTTAGCTAACCTCTCTGGTTAACTACTATCCCAAAATTTTTTATTTGTTTAAGTCCTTGTTCTTAAACTACACTAACATATTGGTTTACTTTCTTGATTCAACAAACTATAAAGAAAGAACATAGATTTTCACTGGTAAAGAGATATTATATTTCCACTGAAACATCATTGTAAGTATCTAATTTAGGATTATCTAGATGTGATAGGTTAGGAATATTGATACTCACAAAAGGTCTCTTCACAAGTGATTTTCTGACTAAATATCTAATTTGAACTTAATTTCTTTGTGAGTTACATATTTTCTAAACCAATTATAGAATAAAAAGGATTTAGCTGAATTCTAAGTAATCAAGATTTTACTATTTTTTGTACAGAGCAGATCACAAAAGGCTTATTTTTTAAAAAATACTTTGGGCAATCACTACATTTTTTAAAAGCAGAGTAATAAATCCATAATTTCTTTTGAAAAACAAGTGGTATTCAGGTTTTGATCAATGCTGCATAAACAAATCATAGCTGAGTAAAGTCTACCATCAAATTGGAAGACACTGATAACAACATTCCTTTAATAACTGTGGCCACTAAACTCCTTCAAAAGCAACTAAATGATAGAATTTGGTATTGAAATCAACGCATATTGTGGGAACAGAGTATATTCTTAACGAAGTTGATGTTAGTTTGGGGGCAAGGTGAAGTTACTCAAATTCTCAATACCAGTCTGCAGCAGAGGCCTAAGGAATGATTAATAATTCTTAAAAATGTTGAAGAGGGAGGATATCATGCAACTTTCTAGGAGGCAGTCTCACCCTTCCAAACACACACAGGCAAAACTTTACCCACAAGTCAATAAACCCCTAAAATCCACCAATGGATCTCAGGTTAGGAGGGCCTAATGTAGAAGGCTATAGAACTGAGACACAGAAGACAGGGAGAAAGACTTAAACTCATAGGATTGTGTGGTTTTGTTACTGCCTGTCCCACATGTGTATGCACACTTTTCTAGTAACTTAACAGGAAACCATCCTTTAAGAAATGTAAGCAGTCTCCTATATCTAATAGGCCTAGTAAATCTTACTTGGAAGGAAGAAAAAAATCCATATTCAGAAAGATATTATTCTATATACACATGATTACTATATTGCTTCCACCCACAGTAACACAGCTTCTGACAACATACTGTTCACTGCTGCATAACCAGCTTTTGGAGCAATGCCTACCATACACTAAGTATTCAACAACTATCGGATGAGTAAATGAATTAGCATACTTAAACACAACACATCAGGGTAACCAAAATACTCCTAATAAGCCCATTGTAACATGTAATTTAATTTTAAAGGGTGATTTTCTCCAAAGGGAATTCAGATGCTAACTTTTAATTACATACCCACCCATCTGAAAGCAGTGACAAAGATTCTTCAAATAGCATTTGGTTTTAGAATTAGTAAATCCTTTATGCACAGTAATGGAGATGAAAACAACAGATCTGCCTTTAAAAACCCTGAAAATTAATATAAAATTAACTCCTCCTAAATCAAAATACACTTTTTCAGCTTTATCAAATATAGCTTTAGAACTCCAGTGCAAGTCAGGTACCCATGCCTCCTTCAGTACTCCTAGCTCTGCAACTTCATCTCCTTAGACAAAAGAAATAAATCAAGGTCAGATTTTTCTATACACTGAGTAACAGGTTAAGTCCTAGGCATACCTTATTGTTCCTGGTAGAGACAGCCAGGAAGAAAAACTGGAAAATCAAGAACTAACCTGTGTAATATTCAATTCCCCATAATACAGAATGTGTTAATATTTCAGTGGTAAACTATTCAGGGACATGTGTTAAGAATCACATGTCAGATTTCTGGGTCAAAATAACAAAACAAGCACACCAAGAACCATCAGAGAAATATAAAGACTTCCAAAAACTTAAATAAGCAAGAACATTTAACAATCTTTATCTGATTTACATGTCATTTCCAAAAAATATACCTACTGGATTGAATAAAATGCACAGTATATTTTAGGAAAATATAGCTGCCTATTGGGTAGATAAGTGATCCTGAATATTACAAAAACCAGTTCACAGAACTTTTCAGATGAAGTGTCAGATAGCACTGCTTTTTACTGTAATAATCTTGTTACTTAATAACATAAAGAGAAATGGCATCTTACAAGCATAGTGGACTGCAGTGACCTACCCATTCTCTCCGTGCTCTTTAGCAACCCCAATTTTATTTGGGTCAGCTATGTACCCTGCTAAATTAGGATTACAATCTCAAGACTTCCTCATAGATAGACGTACCCATGTGGCTAAATTCTGGCCAATAAGATGTAAGGGGAAACACTGTGTGAGACTTTCAGCAAGATTAAGGCTTGCTTTTGTTCATTTTTTCTGTTCTCCAGAATATGAATGTAAAGGCTAAAGCATCAGCAGTCATATTTACCAAGAGATAACCCTGAAAAAAGCAAACATGCACAAGGAAGACAGACAATGCCTGCATCCTCAATGGCTTTGTAGAATAGCATTTCACTCTTGGATTGCCCCCCTCTGAGCTTCTTTAAATCAGAGAATAGATCCCAATTTATGGTTCCCAAATTTTGTTGAACACTAGAATCACCCAGTGAGATGGACACTGAGGTTGCTCCCATCCTAATTAAATCAGAATATTTGGGGATTGGAATAAGGCATTAATACGTTTAAAGACTCTTAGTAAATTCCAACGTATAGCAAAGTTTGGGTACTACTGTCTTATGTGCTTAAGTCTGCCCCCAAACTGAGTTACTATTATTAACAGACGATTATAAATCTGATACTGTGTGTAAATATCAGAAAAAAAGTAGGAAAGTTAGAAAAAATTAAACATCTTTATGGCTAAGTTATTAACTATGTAGCTTAAGTGAAAACCTGCAAAATAGAAAGGCATTTAAAAATATTAAAGTAGGAAGATAAAAATTCTTACTATTTTAAGCATCATCTCATTTAATCCTCACCTCAACCCTATGAGGCAGTATCATTCATATTTTATAGTTGAAGAAATAAATACTCAGATAAAATAAATAACTTACTCAGAGTCTCACATCAAGTTAAAGGCAGAGCCAAGATACAACTTTCTATTTGTAACTTCAAGGCTGGGGCATTTTCCACTACTGTAACTCAAGAAGAAAACAGACTGAGAGACCTCTAAAGAGTTACATTTTCCCTTAAGGGAATATTAATTTCATGAAATAAAAATGAAAACTGATAAAAAAAATGAACAAGGGAAAAGCATCCCATCAAATCTGTAAGCATTTCATAAATCCTGTGAACCAGAAAAATATTATGTTCAAGTTCATTTTTACAAGAGATATTTGTTCTTAAATATCACTAAAAAATGAATTTTAAAAATCAAGAATTTATAATACATCAGTTTTGAAAATAGAGCTTTAACATATACTAACTTTAGGGTAGAGAAAAACTGGTTTATGAGAAAGAATTTATTTGAACACAAAGAATCTAAATTAGTCAATGCAGTAACCTAAACTCTAAATTTTCAAACAAGTATTAAATTTCAAAATGAACCAATTTTCAGGAGTGTCTCAGCTCTTTTTCATAATTCCATTTATATCAAAAAGTTAATGTTTACTAACAGAAGATCAAAATAGTATTTGAACAATACTATAGATGAACTGGACCTAGCAAACACAGAAAGAACACTCTACCCAACCACAGCAGAATATACATTCTCTTCAAGTGTACAGGGAATGTACTCCATGATAAAACATTTTAGGCCACAAAACAAGGGTTAACAAAGTTAAAAAGATTGAAATCATACAAAGTATCTGATCAAAATGGAACAAAACTAGAAATCAACAGCACAAGGAAATGTGGAAAATCCACAAATATGTGGAAATTAAACAATACACTCTTAAATACTTAATGAGTCAAAAAGATGTCACAAGGGAAATAAAGGATACTTTGAGAGACAAATTAAAATGAAAACAATGTACCTAAACTTATGAGATACAGTGAAAACAGTGCTAAGAGGGAAGTTTATAGCTATAAATGTGTACTTTAAAATAAGAAAGATCTCAAATTAACAACCTAACTTTACACCTCAAGAAACTACAAAAAAATGAAATTCAAAGCTAGCAGAAGGAAAGAAATAAAATTGGAGCAGAGATCAAAACAAAGAATAGAAAAATAACTGAAATAATCAACAAAACTAAGTTGGATTTTTTAAAACATCAACAAAATTGACAAATCCTTAGCTGTATTAAGAAAAAGAGAGAAGATTCAAATAACCAAAATCAGCAAAGAGGAGTCAATACAACTGATGCCACAGAAATAAAAAGGATTATAAGAGAATACTATGAAAAACTGTGTAACAAATTGGATAACCTAGAAATAATGGACAAATTCCTAAAACAACACAACCTATCTACACTGAGTCATTAAGAAATAGAAAATATGAACAGACTGATGAGTAAGGTTATTGAATCATTAAGTAAAACTTCACAGAAAGGAAAAGCCCAGGAGCAGATGGCTTCCCTGAAGAATACTACTAACCATTTAAAGGATTAACACCAATCCTCTGGAACTCTCCCAAAAAACATTCCTAAGCTCATTCTATGTGGCCAATATTACCCCAATACCAAAGCCAGACAAAAACACTATAAGAAAAGAAAACTACAGACCAATAGTCTTGATGAATACTGATGCAAAAGATCCTCAACAAAGTACTAGCAAACCACTTCTTGATTTCAAAATGTATTACAAAGCTACAGTAATTAGAACAGTGTGGTACTAGCATAAAGACAAACCAATGGAGTAAAATAGAGCACCCAAAAATAAATCCTTGCATACATGGTCAAATTATCTTCAAGGGTGACAAGACTACTAAATGGGGAAAGGAGTCTTTTAAAAAAATAAGTGCTGGGAAAACTGGCTATCTACATGCCAAAAAATGGAGTTAAGATCCTTATCTTAGACCATATACAAAAATTAACTCAAAAGGGATTAAAGACCTAAATGTAACATCTAAAACTATACAATTTCTACAAGAAAACACAGGGCAAAATCTTCATGACACTGGAGTTGACAATAATTTCTTGGATACAACACCAAAAGCAAAGGTCACAAAAACAAAAATAGACAAATGGGACTACAGCAAACATAAAAACTTTTGTGCATTGAAGGAAACTATCAACAGAATGAAAAAGCGACCTATGAAAGGAATGAAAATACCTGCAAATTATAAAACTGGTAAGGGGTTAATATCCAGAATATATGATGGATTCCCAAAACTCACCAACAAAAATCAAGTAACTCAAATAAATATTGGTAATGGAATCAAATAGACATAACTCCAAAGATGATACACAAATGATCAGCATGCATACAAAAATACGCTTGACATCAGTGAAATGCAAATCAAAACCACAATGATATTACAGACATAAGGATAGCTACTACCCAAAACACAGAAAATAGCAAGTGTTGTTGAGGATGTGGAGAAATTAGAACCTTTGTACATTGTTGGTGATATTGTAAAATGGGGTAATTTGTATGGAAACAGTATGAATGTTCCTCAAAAAATTAAAAATAGAACTACTATATGATCCAGCAATCTGACTTCTGAAGAATATACATCCAAAGTAATTGAAAGAAGGGTTTTTTTTTTGAAGTATAGTTGATATACAATCTTATACTGGTTTCAAGTATACAACAGGGTGGTTCAACAGTTATCCAAATGATTAAATCCTCACCCTAACTAGTGTAGTTACTATCTGTCAACAAAGGAAGGTGTTACAGAATCACTGGCTATATTCTCCATGCTATACTACCATCCCTGTGACCAACTTCTATTATAATTGAGAATTTTTGTGCCCTCTTATCCCTCTCACTCTCCCCACCCACCCACCCCAACCACTCCCCCATGGTAGCCACCAGTCACTTTTCAGTGTCTTTGAGTTTACTGCTATATTGTTCATTCTGTTTCATTTTTAGATTCCATAAATAAGTGAAATCACATGGTAATTATCTTTCTCTGCCTGGCTTATTTCACTTAGCATAATACCCTCTAGGTCCATCCATGTTGCCACAAATGGCAAGATTTCTTTCCTTTTTATGGCTGAATAATATTCTATTGTGTATATGTACCACCTTTCTTTATCCATTCATCTACTGATGGACACTTTGGTTGCTTACGTATCTTGGCTATTTACATAATATGGCAATAAACACAGGAGAGCATATATTTTTCCAAATCAGGGATTCTGTTTTCTTCGGATTCATTCCCAGAAGTGGAATTACTGGGCTACATGATTTCTATTTTTAGTTTTTTGAACCTCCATACTATTTTCCACAGTGGCTACACCGGTTTACATTCCCACCAACAGCGTTGTAGGAGGGTTCCCATTTCTCCACATCCTTGCCAACACTTGTTATTTCTTGTCTTTTGGATAGTAGCCACTCTGACTGGTGTGGGGTGATACCTCACTGTCATTTTGATTTCCATCACCATGATGATTAGCAGTGTGGAGTATCTTTTCATGTGCCTGTCGGCCATCTGTACTTCTATGAAAAAATGTATGTTCAAAAGAAGGGTCTTAAAGAGATATCTGCACACCCATGTTTATGACAGCACTTATTCACAGTAGCTAAGAGGTGGAAGCAACCCACGTGTCCTTTGATAGATACATGGATAAACAAAATGTGGTATATACAGACAATGGGGTATCATTCAGCTTTAAAAATGAAGGCAATCCTGACACATGCTACAACATGGATGAACCATGAAGACATTATGCTAAGTGAAATAAACCAGTCACAAAAAAGAGAAAATGATTCTATTCCCCCTTTCATGAAGGGGGGAAAAGGTAGTTGTTTGATGGGTACAGAGTTTCAGATTTGCAAAATGAAAACATTCTGGAGATCTGTTTCAAGACAATGTGAATTTACTTAACATTCCTGAACTGTATGCTTAAATTTTGTTTCTATTAATATAGTTAAAACATTTTACATTAATATGTATTGAATTAGCCATAACAATATGGAAATTATTAAATATACAAATACAGTTAAGAACACTAAAAATTCCATTACATGGCTAAAGCATCTTAAGTATTTTATATTTACAAAAGTATGACTGTTAAAAACAAACAATCCTGTTTACCTTGGCTTGTCTCTTTTTTCTTTTTGTCTTTCAAAATCTCGTCCTCTGTCCTTTCCATCTCTTGGTTTTTCTTCTATTCTGTCTTTTATTTTATACTTCTCTTTATATTTTTTCCCTAGAGCAATATCTTCCTGCATAGGAGGGGGCGGACTAGGCGTGCGAGGTCCTTTCTTTTTACTTTGGTTGCTTTTTGAATTCCTAAAGGTAACACACAAGCTTTCATTAGAGGTTCAAATACTTTTGGACAGTCATATAGATTTTTTTTTCATTTTAACAAAGCACATTTAAGAAACATTAACATTCCTTTTAACATATACTAATCTTTCACTATGTCGTATACTAGTAATCAATATCCAGAAAAAATTAACACACAAAAATGAGCAAAGAAATAATTTATTTGCTACTTATTTCTTAACATTGCTTTTTATTTAACTTTAAAGGGTAGGTTTCTGAGAAAGACAGTGTTGGAATAGGAAAAGGTTCTTCCAGGAAAGGAAATTCAGCATGAGCTGAATTTTTTTAAGCTTTTATAGAAAAACAGATGAACAAAGTAAAAATCACCTCTAAATTCACAACTCAAAGATAACCACTGTTAACACCTTGAATATATGTCCACACTTTTTCTATGTCTCTTTCCCTCCCTTCTTCCCCTACTCCCATTCTATTACAATGTTTTGTAGAATTTTTTGTATGAAATATAGCATGGGTATCTAGATTTACATAATTATGTTTATAGATTGTATAGAATTTCACTGAAGAGATATGCTCCAGTACTTCTTTAAATAATTAGATATTAAGAAGTTTTTTAGGTGGTCTCCATGTCCTCATCATTACAAAACACAATTACATCATCTATAAATGAAATCCTACATATTGTTAGTAAACATTCATGTAAATTCTTTGAGTATTACTTAAGAAATCTTTCCTAACTCTTGGACTACAAAGATAGTCCCCTAAAATTCTGGAATTTTGTCTTTCACATTTAATCTACTGGGAATAAAGTTTTGGATACAGATTAACTTTGGCTCTTTATGTGAGCCCTTATATATATAAAATTATCTTTACCTCATACCCAAACAACAGTTTGACTGGATACAGCATTTTGGTGTCAACATTCTTTTCCTTCAGAGCTCTATAAACACTGTTATATCTTGTAGCATTTAGTGTTATAGATGAAAAGCCTAAAGAAAGTCATTTTTTCCCCTATGCAGGTTACCTGCTTATAAATATTATTCCTTGGAAATTAAAAATTCACTGAGATAAATCTAGATTTTCTTTTTAAAACTTTTCCACAACTCAGTGAGAGCTGTTTCTATCTAAAACCTCACCTCTTTTACTCAATTTCTTCTATTTTTATTTCACCAATTCTCCATATGAAATCTTCTGGATTTCTCCTCCATGTCTTATTTTTCTGTTATTTCCATCTCTCCTTTTGATTTCCTATATATATATATTTGTCCTCAAATTCAGTAGTTTTTGTTTTAAGCAGTACTCATTCTATTAACTCCAAATCTGGCCATCTTATTATCCTATTTTCAGTTTAAAAATAATTTTTCTTCTAAAATCTTTGTTTACTGATTGTTTTTATTCTCATGATCAACTGCTCTGATCATGTCAATATAACATCCTCTCAAATCACATTGAAATTATGAATTGATTATTTAGATTTGCTGCTGTTTTCTACAACACTGAGTGTTCACTTTGGTAGTGAGTTTTTTGTTTTTTTTTTAAATTATATTTCAACTATTTATTGATCCTTAGGCTAACATTACAGTTCTGAGATTACATTTGTTTGAGAATAAATTCTAAAGTCATATAATGTAACTTCTCTTTGCTCCTCCTCTTCAAATTTGCTTGCAAATTTCCACAAAAGAAAAAAAAAGAAGTCCTGATGGTATTATGATGATAATGTCACTGAATCTACAGATCAATTTGGAAGAACTGGCATATTAACAATATTGTGTTTTCCATGACCATGGTATATTTCTTCATTTATTACTTTGATTTTCTTATTTTTTCACTCAGCACTTTTTTTTGGGTGGCATTTATTCTAGAGAGCTTCAGATGTTCCTTAAATTTATTCCTATTTTTTATGATACCTTAAGTAGAAATATTTATTTTTAATCTTATTTTCCTATTGCTATTAGAATATAAAAATACATTAATCATATACATTAAATTGTAACTTAGGAATTCACAAAATTTAATTTTGAGCTCTAATATTTTTGTGAATATTTAACATACTCTATGTAAGCAATCATTTAAAAACCAAATAGAGATAATTTTACTTACTGTTTTCACATCTTTACGCTACTAAATTTTTTCTTCTGCTTGATTTAAATCACTAAGGCCATCTTATACAATGCTGAATAGAAGTTGTATAGTATGCATCCATTATTTTTCCTAATCTTAATCAGAAAAGCATTTTATATTTCACCATTTAGTATAATGTTCTTCTGGAGTTCTTGTGGATGCTGTTTATCAGATTAAGAGTGTATACTTCAATTCCATAATTGCTCAGGGTATTTCTTTTTTATCATGAATGGATGTTATCTTTTCTTTTAAATATCTGTATCTATTGAAATTTCCTATGCTCTCCTTCCTTTATTCTCTCATACCGCCATCTTGAATCCCATCTGGTAGTGAGCTTTTAAGTAGCCTTTTCTTTTGATACATCTGGTAAGTTTTCACTAACTACTCATTTCATTGTCTATTGAGTCTTATAAATGATGATGTAAGCCTAAATTCTAGAATTTACTACCTGTGACCTTGAGTTCTCTAACCCCAAGATTCCTTAGCTACAAAAAGGTAATGGAAATATTCTTCCTCAAAATTGCTGGTAACATTTCAAAAAGATAAAGTACAAAAGCAACTCTATTTTTCACTTCTGCTTTCTGCCAAGAGCCATATTAGCAACATCTTACTGCATATTTGAGATGACTCAAACTTTTTATGTGTATAGATAAGTAATGAATGTCTCAATTTCTAAATATTTTTCACTTAAAAAACAAAAACTAATCAATAGTTGGTATCTGTATAAAAAATTATTTAAAAAACTATTTTCAAGATAAAATGATAGATGAATTCTTGATACAAACTGTATTTTTCACATTACTGCCTGTGACAGACACTAGCTAGTTATTTTTCTAAATTTCTGTCCCTGGGCAATACTGTTAGACCACACTGTCTAGATTTTTTGAAATCCAGTAGGACCAAGTGACCAAGTTTTGGCAAAAGACTATGGGTGAAACTGATGTACACCACTTCTAGGCCTAACTAGTTAAGAGACTCTCATACACCAGGCAACTGTAAACTATATACCTAAATAAAGCAATACTCCAATTAATTTTTTCTTCGCATATTCTATTTTTTGGTGTCCTTGAAAACCCAAGAAAGCAGAGCCTGGGTTACTGAAACACCATGTATAGGAAAGTCATCTGTTAATCAGAAATACCAATTTCAACTTTACTTGAGTGAGAAATAAACTTTCAGTGCATTAAACTTACATTTCAGGATTAAGCTATTATAACAACCAGAATTATCTCAAAACACTCACTAAAGAACACTAAAGGGCTGAATTTCTTCACATTTCCTTCAAAAATACATGTGATTGGAAAACACAAGCATATTACAGATAAAAAGTTTTCAATTGTATTCCAACTGAAGGGGCCAAAATTTGTTTTGCACATTGAGAAGTCAACAACATCTTTCAACATTTTTTGTCAATTGATTAATTATCGACTTCTATCATTTTTATAACCTTTCTCTCTCTCCCCAAAATTACTTCTTTTGAATAGCTTTTGACATAGTTTACACATCTGTGTATAAAGAGCCATAAAAGAAAAGGTTACCTAATAAAAACTAAGATGCAAAGTAGACAGACAGAATAGTAATACACATAGTGATTCTAAGCCACAGTGTATCCCACTTAAGAACATAAAGCTTATTATCAGGCTGTCTCAAAATGAACACCAAAAAAAACTGCCAGCCCTCAGGGAGAAGTGTGAGTGTTCATTTGTAATCATCCCTGCCTACTCAATATGATAACCATGTAGGACAAGGAGTCTGCTGACCTTAGTGTCACCTCAGTTGACTTACTGGCGTAAGTTGCAATACTCACTGAATTTTAACTGAAATTCTAATTCTTATTCACTGCTTAATATGTCTTTAAACAGTTTTTAGTATGATTCAGCAATAAAACTAAACGTTGATGGTGCTACACTCTAGGCAATGTAAACTCCATATTCAATTCAATGTTTTCTTTGTACCTTCAACATATGGTTTTCTAGGTCCTTCTGTTTCTATTATTAAATTAATGTTGCATCTTAAAGTCAACAACATCTTAGAAATAATGTAGCTAAGTCAACTATTCATGCTAAGTAGTCATCAAAGGATAGTGAGTTACTGAAAAACATTAAGAGAAGACTATATAAAAAAGAATAGGATGAAACTAACCCCTGAACTAAATCATTTTTAAAACTTTCTGTGAAGAGATTTAATTAAAAGATTTAATAAATAGGATAAGAAAATGAAAAAATAGTATTTATAATATGCTTTTTTGAGGGGGAAATGGATGGAAATGAGAGAAAGTTATATAATTGGTTAGCCAAGAGTATAAAGAGCAAGTGGGGTGGACATCACTCTAAAGTTCAACTTTGCTTTGCAATATTTGCTCAATCCCAGGAGCAATGCAGAGGATCATGTGAACTTTAAGTGTGCTTTATTACAACTCAAAGTAGGTACTGTGGGGGAATAGCACAATGAACCATCAAGATCTCAGTCTTCATGGAGCTTAGATACAATATGTAGGGGTTGTAAAACAGATAAAATATCACAGATAAAATATGCCAACAGCAATTAATATTAAGAGAGAAGTATAAGTAAAATCTGAAATACACAAAGGGAACAGAAATTATGTCTGGTAAAGGTTAATGGGAGAACTTCAGAGAAAAGGTACAATTTGAGCTAGACACTGAAGAATTAAAGGTGGAAGATGACAGGAAGAACATTGGACAATATGAAAGAGACTTTTTTCAGATCAAAATATGAATGTTATTTTTAAAGGATCTGAATTTCATTCAACAGAATGGAAAACCATTGAGTTTTTCAATGGCATAATTAACTGGAATTATTTTTTTTAACATTTTTCTCACAATATCTTTGAAAGGAATGGGTTGAAGTTACTGAATGAAATGTTTTTGTGTGGGAGAGGACACTAGATAAAGGAAATACAGTTAGGATGATAAAATACTGTAGGCAAAAAGTAACTACAGTTTGAAATAGGGGTAAAGCCCCTCAAAAAATTGGAGTTTCATTTTGTGGGTTCAGACAGTTTACCAACTGGTCAAATGTTGGGAAGAGGTTTTTCATTTTTTTTCTTGAATAAAATTAGTGTGTGCACTTAAAATTTAAATAGTACAGGGTGACACTAAATGAAAAATTGTCTCCTGCCTTATATTTTTATATCTTCAAATGGCTACTCCAATAATTCTAAATAATATATTCATACTGCTATGAATGTACAATAAAGAACCTTATCTCTTGATCATGTATACAAGGACACAGGAATATTCACTGTGTATAACTTGTAATACCTAAAAGCTATAAACAAATGTTCAACAGACAAGTAGATATATAGTATAAGCACTGAAATAGAAGAACTATGCTACACACACCAATACAGGTAAATGTTAAAATATGTTAAGTGAAAAAGCAAGTTGCAGAAAGAAAGTTGTATCTATATTAAGATTAAACCGCTGAAAATAGTACTACATATCCCCAAATGATATATATTATGGAAGTATAAACACATGCACAGCATCATAAAAAACAAATTCAAGAGGGAAGAACACGAAATATATATTTTTATTTTTTTAAAATTAATATTAAAAGCATTTTTAAAAATAAAAAGCTCTGAAACACAGTGACACTGATTTTTTAGTGTTCTCTGTAATTTTCTTTTAATTCTTTGGAGTATCACTTCAGAAAAAGCTATTTCATTCTGGACTATTTATCACCCTACTGACCTCTGCTGGTCCAACAAAGGAGAAGATACTGCAGTTGTCTTCCTGTCTTTCTTGCTGGCTGATGATGATAACTTAGGGCTTGATTTTCGCTTAGGAGATTTGCTAGACTTTCTTAGAGATGGTGATGGAGACAATTTTGATCTAATCACTTCTGGTGAAACCTTTCAAGAGAATTCAGTAACTCAATTCAGGAACTCCAACCATGGTTGTTATAATCAGACAGCAAAGCATATGTTTTAAATTACATCAAACTTGAGATGAAATATCAAATGCTATGGTAGCCATCATGTCTTAATTTTGGTTTGAACCCACGCTTTTAACCAATATGCTAATTAACTACCCTAACATCAACAAAGCAAACTAAAAGTACGAAATTTCAAAATCTAAGAAAAATCACAAATTATTCAAATTATATTTCTCTACTTTTTAGAAAAGAAATAAGTATTCTAAAAATAGCATGGGACTAAAAAACAGACATGTAAATCCCATTTTATAATAGCTGGTAACTCAGCAACAGAACCTCAGTACTGTTCACTGTTCAAAAGCAAAAATATTTCCTATTTATCTAATAGAGTAACATGAAGATTAAATGATTTATATGAAGTGGTTGATACACAGTAAGTTGATCAATGTATCAACAACCTAATACAATTTAACTCCAAGAGATAAGTGTGTTATGAATAGGTTTTGCAACTAGATTCAGGGGAACACACAAAAGAAGTTGCTTTCAGTCCATCAGTGGAAGCATGACAGACTGGTATTTGCTAAAACTTACTGAAAGAAAGTAGTGCAGGTTGCCTCTTTCATGTAACTTGTTCTTAAGGGATAATAGAACTGAACTTCAAAAGTGCCCTAGAAGACTATCCTCTCATGTATGTGCTCTAATACAGTGAACTTAGACTGCACTGAATAACACTGTCAATTAGCTGCAGAAAGCAGCATGTATTGCTGTTTGGCTTAAAGAGAGCAATGGAAGCAAGACAGAATGGGCTCATTTACACACACTGAATAAACACTGTCCTTATTGCATATTTAATGTACTTGCTTCACTGACCAGGAAGGGGGTCTTAGTAAACCATGCCCTGTAAGTGGGTCTACAATGTCACATGCTCAATTCTGTGGAATATCTCTATACTGAATAGGACGTTCAGGTAACGTGTAAGGAACAGCTGTAAGCCAGCCTTCTTGACCACACTGCTGGAGGTTGGGTAGTACGGCAGTGGGCTGCACACGCTGAAAGAACACTATGCTTGCTTCCCCTTTCAAGTAACCAGAAGCTAATGACTTCTCTATAGAATACCTCTTTCTTTATAATAATTTCTTCTCTCTTCTCCATGTTTTCTTGTTCCAGCTTCATTAATTCTCTTTGTATCTTCTGACGCTTCATTTCCAATGATAACTCATGAACATAATCGTAATTAATGTCTCCATTGTCAGAATCTTTAAAATAAAAATTCCATTGTCAGAAACTATCATAATTACTTATGCCAAAAATTGGAGGAATTTTTTCAACTAATTTTTATGCAAATTAAAATGGTAGATACTTCTATTAAAATAACATACTTCTAAGACATCAAAGAATTATATAGTGTTTCTATAAAGAAATAAAATCAATATAGCTAATCTCATAATAAGATTATATCTTTGTGAAAAGACAAATACTTTAAAGGTTTCTGGGTTTTCTGGGGGTGATTCTGAATTGTCTGGGGTCTTGGGTTTTTGGTTAGGAGATGGGATTTTTTAAAAGATAAAATTAACAAACTCAAGTGTAAATTCTAAGTATTAAAGACACCAAAGCCTTCACTATTTCATGCTGCAAATAATGTGACTGTCTCCTTGATTTTCTTAAAAATTCATTAGTTGAATAAACATTACATTAGGCATGCAACACTGCTTCCTTTATTTTGTGTTTATTAGTGGCACAACTACTTTTTACCTAAAACTAAAGTTTGCTTTAATACTAACAGACCCATAGATCAATGAAATAGCACTGAGAGCCTAGATATAAACCCAAGCTAACTTCTGAAGGACCTTTAACATTTTCATTACAAGTGATTTGTACTAGTATCTTATATTAGAACTGTCCCTCTCCTCAATAGATCTGATACCACATCTCTTATATTAGAACTGTCCCTCTCCTCAATGGATCTGATACCACATCTTTATTTCCATTCATTTTTTCCAATGAAAATATGAAGGATAGTTAAGGAGGAAAAAAAGGAAGAAGAGTATGCAGAGCATTTCATTATAATACACAGAAGTTTTCGTGGCTGTTGGCACTCCTCGCACTCTTATTTGCCATAAATGCCAAGAAGCTTGGAGGAGGGAATGTCACTAACTTCTATCCTAACATATGACCATGTTGGGTTTGATTACAAACTGAAGTGCCTTCTCAAGCTATACTTTCAGTACTTAAGATCACCATTTTTCAACCTTGGGTAAAGAACTAGAATGAGGAACTAAAAAATACAATACAGATAAGCAGTCTTACTTGATTATTAGTAAGACATAGCATAGGTCAAATACATTAGAATGCGAACTATCCATTCATGCTTGGAGACTGAAAAAGTGGCTATATCCATTATCTGTGTGAATAAATTTGACTACCTCATACTAGAATATAATGACAATTTCTCAGTAAATATATAGACGAAAGTATGCCTTCCAATTAGAAAGCAAGTACTAGACATTTAAGGGCATGAGGCCTTTACTAGATAAAATAATTGGAGATACTGAATTTAATTAAATGAATAATGGTTATCACTAGTTTTTATTTATACTCCACTGAGATACTTAAAATCAAGAATAAAAGGACTCAATAATCTGGTTTGATTATATGCTTAAATTATTGACAGATAGATAAAATTCTATAACCAAACATTAATTAAGGGTAAACTGGATGAAAGAGTAACAGTTCACAGTGTTTTTGACAGTATTAACAGTAATGATCTACCCATCTAAAAATTGATACCTGAAATACCACCAATATAGAACAAATGGAAAAATGAGAAGTTTTTTTGAAATGGAAGCTTACAGTCTTTAATCCCAAACCACTCAACCAAAAGGGGTCAGCCTGAGCACTTAAAATATACATCAAAGTCAATGCACTAAAGCTAATATATTTTGCTTAGAAGAAAACACCCGAGTCTTTATTTGGAAACTACTTATTTTATGCATCTCTAGTATAATCAAAAGTAAGATGTTTTCCTAGGCTATATGAGATGGCTTACAAAGTAGGCACACTGTAACTGACAGTCCACTAACAAAAAAAGAAAAATCAGAAAGCATAACTGATTTTCAGCAAATTTGCAGGATACAAAATTAATATGCAGAAATCTGTTGCATTCCTATATACTAACGAAGAACTAGCAGAAAGAGAAATCAGGTAAACAATTCCATTCACAACTGCATCAAAAAGAATAAAATACCTAGGAATAAACCTAACCAAGGAAGTGAAAGACCTATACCATGAAAACTACGAGACACTCATGAGAGAAATTAAAGAAGACACCAATAAATGGAAATACATACAGTGCTCATGGATAGGAATAATTAATATTAATAAACTGGCCACCCTGTCTAAAGCAATCTACAGATTCAATGCAATCCCTATCAAAATACCAACAGCAACAAACTAGAACAAATAGTTCTAAAATTCATATGGAACCACAAAAGACTCCAAATAGCCAAAGCATTCCTGAGAAGGAAGAATAAAGCTGCGGGGGGTTACACCCCCCAACTCCAAGCTCTACTACAAAGCCATAGTAATCAGGACAATTTGGTACTGGCACAAGAACAGACCTATAGATCAATGGAATAGAACTGAGAGCCCAGATATAAACCCAAGCATATATGGTCAATTAATATATAAAAAAGAAACAAAGAATGTACAATAGGGAAAAGACAGCCTCTTCAACAACTGCTGTTGGCAAAACCAGACTGCTACTCTAAGAGAATTAAACTGGAGTATTGTCTTAACTCCATACACAAAAGTACACTCGAAATGGATCAAAGACCTGAATGGAAGTCATGAAACCATAAAACTCTTAGAAGAAAACATAGGCAAAAATCTCTTGAATATAAACATGAGCAACTTTTTCCTGAACACATCTTCTCAGGCAAGGGAAACAAAAGCAAAAATGAACACATGACACTACATCAAACTAAAAACCTTCTGTACAGCAAAGGACACCATCAGTAGAACAAAAAGACATCCTACAGTATGGGAGAATATATTTGTAAACGACATATCCAACAAGGGGTTAACATCTAAAATATAAAGAACTCACATGCCTCAACACCCAAAAAAGCAAATAACCCGATTAAAAAATCGGCAGAGGATATAAACAGACACTTTTCCAAAGAAGAAAGTTAGATAGCCAATAGGCACATGAAAAGATGCTCCACATCACTAATTACCAGGGAAATGCAAACTAAAACCACAATGAGATTATCACCTCACACGAGTTAGGATGGCCAACATCGAAAAGACAAGGAACAACAAATGCTGGCGAGGATGAGGAGAAAGGGGGACCCTCCTACACTGCTGGTGGGAATGTAAATTAGTTAAACCATTGTGGAAAGCAATACGAAGGTTCCTCAAGAAACTAAAAATAGAAATATCATTTGACCCAGTAATTCCACTCTGAGGAATTTACCCAAATAAAACAAGATCACAGATCCAAAAAGACATATGCACCCCTATGTTTATTGCAGCACTATTTACAACAGCCAAGAAGAAAACAAATCCTACCATTTGCAACAACATGGATGGAGCTAGAGGGTATTATGTTCAGTGAAATAAGCCAGGCAGAGAAAGACAGGTGCCAAATGATTTCCCTCATTTGTGGAGAACTGAAGGACCAAAACAGCAGCAGACTCACACACTCCAAGAAGGGACTAGCGGTTACCAAAGGGGAAGGTTGGAGAAGGTTGCGAGAGGAGAGAGGGAGAAGGGGATTGAGGGGTATTATGATTGGTGCACATGGTGTGTGTGGGGTTGCGGGGAAGACAGTGCAGCACAGGTAAGACAAATAGTGACTCTGTGGCATCTTACTATGCTGATGGACAGTGACTGCAATGGGGCATGGGGGGGACTTGATAATATGGGTGAAAGTAGTAACCACAATGTTTTTCACATGAAACCTTCATAAGAATGTATATCAATGATACTTAATTAAAGAAAAAAAAGAAAAATCAGAAAGCACAATGGAACTCAAAAATAAGAATGTGAAACCATCAAGAAATTTAGAAATCTTATAGCTTGAGGTTATATTATAACTGCCTTACAAAACCTGATTCATATAGATGATTAGAATCATCAGGAAAATATTAAATGTAATTAGAATGGCATATTTAACAAGGCAGAGATTTTTAAGAATATGTAACAGAAAACTACATGCAATACATAAGGAAACGTTGACCTTCTTCATGTATAAAGAACTACTTGTGAAAAGAATGGGTTAAGAACATGAACAGGCAATTCATGAAAAGAAACACAAATGATATATAAATATGCCACTTTCATATATTAAAGAGCCTTTCCCTGTCCCTAATTATAATACTAGGTATTGGCAAAGGTACAGATAAAACAGATGTTCATTCTCTGGTGATAGCAATGTAAACTAGCATATCTATCCTGGAAAATAACTTAGCAATATGGGTAAAACCCTTAAGAATATTTATACACTTTGATAAAACAATTTTACCTCTAGTAATCACATGCAAATAATCATGGATAAATAAAAAGTATATGTATAAGAATTATATATATTTGAGTACTGCCTTCTCTCTTCAATGTACAGATTGTCAGTTAGAAGTCTTCATTCTTACATATACAGAGTAAAATATGAAATTCCCTTATGCTCTTCCCATTGCCATTCTTATTCCAGTGGTAACACTAATATAGTTAATGGCATAGTTCAGTGTTATATGCATAAAAACAAGCCTTGATATTCACATCTTTAAAATAATGGGACTAAGACTACACAAAGATCTTTTCATGTCATACACCGAGGTAAACCACCTTCATTTCAATATCTGCAAAGCATTTCATGATATGAACATATCAAAATTTATTCAACCAGTTTCCTCCTGACAGACATTTAGTTTGTTTTCAGTAACTTACTGTTATAAATTAAGTTAGTTCAATGAACATTTGATATCTACTTTGCTTAACAAGTGCAAGTATTTCTTTAGAAGAGATTTCAAACTAGATTTGCTAGATCAAAGATAAGTATAATTTTTATTTTTACTGTTGCCAAACTGTACCTCATAACAGCTTTAACAATGTAAAATCCCACTTGATAGTATTAGTATTCTTCATTTCTGCCAATCACATGGGTTAAAAATGCTATTTTCACTGGCATTCCCCTATAGTGAGTTTGAGCATTTATAGGCAATTTCTAATTCCTCTATGAATTACCTACCCAATTTTGGTT